AATGTAAAAAGTTTTCATTAAGACTAATAAAGATAAGAGCATGGTCTCACCTTAAACATTAAAAAAAAAAAAAAAAATAATAATATTTTATAGTACTTTTATATAAATTACTATAAAAATATATAAATATTTACTCATATACAAATATTACACTTGTACATCCAACATGCATTTATTTGACAAAAACTCCCAAATATATATATAGAAATAACTATATAGAAACAGAAAAAATACCTGATGATTTTATAAATAAAGCTAAAAGTCAATTAATTAAACAAGCTTGATATTTTTAAACTAAATATAGACTATTGTATAAAAAAAAAAAAATAGAAAAGATCTAGACCATCCTCTCAGAATTGTTAAATAGACTAAAAAAGATAATATTCTTTATTTAATATATAAATACTCAAAAAAACTCTTTCCGCTAATCCTTATGACCAAACTGAAGAAAAACTTGAAATTAAGCATAATCATACTATAATAATATTAGTTGTAGTCTTAAAGAAAAAAAACAAGCAGAGAAAAACAACTATAGCTTCATAGAATGGGTAGGCTCTCATCAAACTTTAGCTAGTATTACAAGGAAAAACAAAATTTTTGAAAAATTTTTTTTTTTTTGAAAAATTTGGGGACTTGTCTTTCACCCGGTACTGCAGATCACCAAGCAACAAAACAAATAGATGCGTACAGAAGTAATCAAATAAACAAATAAACAATAAGTCATATAAATAAACAAACAGATAAACAAATACTCAAAATAAACAAAACACAATTATACACATGTCAAATAAACAAACAAACAATAACAAACAATTAGACACCAAATGCCGAAACTAGAAAAATACAAAAACTTCTTTAACAAAAGCGAAGATGAAAGATCAGATCTTTACAACGAACAAAGTACAACCACTCTTAAAAAAGATAGCAGAGTAGCAAACTACCTAGGCACAGATGATAAACACTTAATAGCTATTATCTGCAATGTTTTGCATATTTATGATTGGGCCCAACATAAGAAAACAAAAGAGCTAGAGTTAACAAAGAAGAAAAAAATCCTAATAAATAAGAACATCAATCTCAAGAAGCTACAAAGTAGTAGTACTAACATGAAAACAGAAACATTTGCTATAGAAATAAGTATAGAACAATCATCAAAAAAAGTTGAATCAACTATGATGGAATTTACTTTAATGCATGCAAATGATCGAACTGATGACTACAAGAACATAACCAGCACTGAATTAACCTCGATGGAAGTTACCCATACACAGACAAATAAACCAGAAGATGTAAATGATCCTGAAATAGAAATTGAATATTTAAACACGAAACGCAAAAGAAATTTTATAGAAAAAGATAGTGTTAGTAGTTTGGCAAAAAAATGAACAGGATGCAGTCAAGTTAGTTTTACTAAATAATGAATGTGGTGTGATAGATTACAGTCTTGCTAGTCAAATCAAAGAAATAATGAGTAAAGATCAGAAGAATAGAAAGAATAAAAACAGCAAGAAACATAAGTATCATGAAGATATCAATAACTCAACATGGGCCCCAAAAGTCAATTTTAGATTACAAGAATCTACCTCACATTACTTTTTCACAATATGGGATCTTCCAAAAGAAATAAGAGCAGGAGAAATTAAGAACTTCCTTAGCTATTTTGGTACAGCATCCATTTTCACATGGCAACAATATTCTAAAACCAAGGCAGCTTATATCAAAATTGCAACCAATTTAGAGAAAAGAGAAAACTCATTGAGAGATAATTGGTCAGTACAATTAAACCAGGGCAAAATGTATAGAACAACTCCTGAAAGATTTAATAGCACTACGCTTGAAGCTAAAAACAAATACAAATGTACAATCTATAATGTACTCAGAACTGCACTTGATAGTCTACTCTTGTGACAACTTAAAAAATACAATGTACAAGCAGTGTATACATTGTGCAACTGTAATGGTAACCAAAGTGGAATTGCACATATTTATTTTAAATCAGAAGAAGTTCGTATTCAAGTACAAAAAACAAGCTTATACTATTATAACACTAAGCTTGTATGGCAATCAACCTCAAATAGCTTTGAAGGCAAAGATTATACAAATGTTCAACTTTCTTATAAAAAAGATAACTTGCACAGTTACAAGGAAAAAAGACAACTAAACAAAACTGAAACAGGTGGAGATCAAAATTCAGACAAAAAGCCAAGATATATAAATATATATAGAAAATTGAACAAGTATAATTATAAAAACAAAGAGAACAAACCCAGTTCAAGTACTAGCTTTAGATCTATAGTACAACCACAAGGAAGACTTCCTGTTATGAATATGAATAAGAAAGCAGAAAGTAGCAATACTTATAATACTGGTAAAGCAAAATTAGCTGAACACGAAATTTCAGAATTGCAGGAATTTGATACCAACAACACCGTACCTGTTTCACAGCTACCAATATCTATTAATACTAAGCCCAGAAAAAAAAAAGCCAAGGAGAGAACTAAGCCACAAGCAGACAACTTTACATAGCATGAGGCTTTGGCAGAGATCCTTAAAAAGCTTTAAAAAATTGAAAAAGATTATGAATCAATTTTCTTATTGGGAGCATTAGCTCCCAACTGTTCCTGAAAGTCGCTGCAGGTATCCACCAAGCCAAAAGCAGGTCTAGCTTTCTGTATACTAATAATATAAGTAAAAAGATATATAAAGATCAAGAAGGGCTAGAAAGAACAATAGTAGAACAGATTAAAAAAGAACACTATTT